TGCATTCTCGGATTCCCCTGTGGAACAGGAGAGCCCAAGAAAGCCATGGGAGTGGGGGGGGGGGGCATCCCTTCCTGCTGCTTGTAAAAATGATCCAGCAGCTAATTAGCCCCTAGTATTGCTTTACATGAAAACTGACCACCAGCTGAAAAAAGCAATACTGGGATGATGCCTGTAGCTGCAGGCATCATCCCGGTATATAACCGCTCAAATGCAGTTATTTACCAGTATGTTGCTGGTCCTTGTTGGGCATATATGTAACAGCAGAGAACACAGGCATATGATGAATTGAGTCTGTGGACCAATATGACTGTAATTCATTCTTTTTTGTAATGCCCATATTGCGGGTTGGGCCCAAAAAAGTTTTAAATTCAGAAATCGTGATAGGTTTTCATGCGAATTGTCTTGCAAGAGCTGAATTTGGGTGGGCGGTGATGTATAGTTGTGTGTATAAATTGCTTTGGCCCACAATCAATTGGTACAAATCTTCCATAAAAAACAGCGGAGGGGCTAAAATCTAGTGCTGGCAGCAAATGAGACTGAAACTGCTAACACTGCATTTTTGAGGACACTGTACAAAGGAGGCACTAGTGTAGTTCTGTTCATGATCAATATATTGATCCATACAAACACTATACTAGAAATTGCGGTGATTAGCAACCTAAAGTGTGAGTGCGATAATGTGCGGGCAAGCTAATGCTAGATGCCTGGCTGGGAGGGGAGCTTACAGACTTTGACGCTATCTGATGTCGCTAGTGGCAGTAATACAGTGGTCAGTGAAAAATTCTATATACTGACACTGTATAATGGCACTGGCTGGGTGATGGGGTGATCAAAGGGTTAATAGGTGTGATCAAAGGGTTAAACATGCTATTTGCTATCTAAGGTGTGAGTGTAAAATCTAGTGCTTTTACTCGCAGTGCTGTGTTCTCTCTTCTCTCCCTGGACCAACAGGGGGCAGCTGAGAGCACAGGTGTGTACACAATCCGAAATAGAAAGTGACGCTTGCTTTGCCCAGAGCCGCTGCTCACCAGCACAATGCAGGCAAGCAGTTGGCAAGTGGTTAATAAAAAACCCCTTAAAAAGTTCTCAATACAGTATTTTTTATTTTATTCCTTTTTTTTAAGTTTAAATACTTTTATCAAAGTAGTGCAATGTTACCATAGTAACATTACACTACTTTGGGGAGTGATAAGGGATTTTTTTTTATACACTTTGCATTTCATGAGCAATGAAGATCATTGCTCTGCAATGCAATATAAATTAATTATCCCCAAAGGATATATGGGACTTTATAGGCAACTCAACATGTATATAAATAACAAGAATTTTATTGTTACAAATATTTAGAACATTACATTTTGAAGATATAAAACAAATTAAAACTAGATACGATGGCTGAATACATATTACGGATTAAATATATTAATACACGTACACATGTAGGCGATCTCTGAAAACCTATCTCTTCAAGGAAGCCTTCCTGCCCTCAGCTAATACTGGAATCTTCTCATCTTCCAACCAGTCCATCCCCCACAGTTACCACCTTTTGTGCCACTAGCCCCTCTCTCCTAGATTGTAAGTTCCAAGGAGCAGGGCCCTCAAATCCCTCTTGTATTGAACTGTATTGTTGCTGTTTTGTCTCCCGTTATATTGTAAAGCGCTAAGCAAACTGTTGGCACTATATAAATCCTGTATAATAATATTAAATAATAATAACATGTCCTCCCTTGGACAATGGGGAAGCAATATTAATCAATATTAATTCAGCAAAACACCCAAATACAAAGCTTACTTTGAACTGTCATGAATGCAGGGGCGGACTGACCATTTGGAAACTCGGGCAGTGCCCGAGGGCCCGGGGTCAGTAGAGGGCCCCATGAGATGCCCCTGGTACCTTTTTCATAGGCTTTTTTGAGTTTGGGCAAGGACACAGGGGCCCCATGATCCCCTATTCCCCGGGGCCCCATGAGTTGTCAGTCCGCCCCTGCATGAATGAGTTACGTTCTTGACAGTTCAATATAATAGTGATCTGTGATTGGCTAGAGATGGTCACATGGTACAGTGTGCTGTGATTGGCCCCACGTATCATGTGAGAGCTGTGAGCCAATTATAGCTCACCAGGAAGAGAAGCAGAGCTGTTATGAATCAGATTGATTCATAACAGCTTTGCTAACAATGTGATCATGTGATCACATAGCGATCACATAATCAACGGGTCCAGTTCACCTTTATTCCGCTGTGTCCCGTGGTGACCCCTATGTTGGCACAGCCAGAGTGACGTACCTGTACATCACTTTGCTTGTAGTTGCCGCCTGTCCGCAGTACATTGAGGGTGGGTGGCTGGCAAGAGGTTAAACATGAATGATGGAAAAAAAAAAAAAAAAATATATATATATATATATATATATGAAATTGAATTAATCCATTTACCAATAATCAATGTCAATGTAATCAATGTCAAAGTCAATGTAGGTGTCAGAGCTCTGTCCACAACAGAGGTACTCGGAGACCTGGCATTCCCGCTAATGGCCGCACACAAAATGCATGCTTGTGAAAATCTATGTGCATTGGCGCACAGACACGAGCCGGAACACGCATGCATACTGGCGCATAGTTACACACGCATTAGCTTTATAAGGAAAGAAACAAACAGAGGGTGCATGGGCCTAGTGCATTACCTTCTAAAAATGAGATTTATTGAATAGGGAGATTGGACTATGCTGTCTTTTTTGTGATGTGTGATTTTATTCTTTTGTGAGTATCCTTTTTTTTATTCAATAAATCTAATTTTTATAAGGTAATGCACCAGGCCCGTGCGCCCTCTGTTTGCTTCTTTGCACACAGCTCCTTTGGATTTCCCTGGTCTGTTGAGGGCAGCAAGGCTTGCATTCCCAAAAAGTACTCCATGTGGGGTTACTGACATTGTGGAGCTCATTGTCCAGCGCTGGAGTTACAGCATTCGTTTGCTCATGCTTTTTTATTGGCCTTTATAAGGAATCCCATCCCTCCCTCAAATTGCTGGTTGATCTCTAGCTCCCTAGTTCCCTTGTTCCATTGCTACTGTGATCTCCTGTTATCCATTTAGCTTGTTCCTTGACCTGTCTTCTCTGCCTGACTCCTGATCTGACCCTGGCTTGGCTAAGAGATATTCTCACCTGCTCTCTTGATCTGACCCGGCTTGGCTAATGGATATTCTCACTTGCTCTCCAGTGTATGACCTCGGCTATCCTAATGACTATGTCTGCTCCAATCTCCACCCGGCATCTGACCTTGGCTTTGAATGGACTACTCTGTGGTCCTCTGCTACCCTGAAGGCCTGCATACCTCTCACAGGCACCTCCTGTCTTCAGACACCATTCCAGTGCATCAGCAGTGCTCCTGGGTGTACCTCTGACCAGCACTCCTACAGGCGACCCGTGCTACTTTGGGCCTTACTCCTTCTGTCCCATATCCAGGGGAGTCTGGAACTTAGCCGCAAGGGAAGCCCTCTCTCCATTGGCTTCTAACACCAGGTACGTGATAGTAGGACAACATAGATTCTGATTGGTTGTAATGGTTTACGCATTTCAAAATAAGAAAAAAAAAATCTTTATCAAATAAGTGCAATGGTTGTGAAGACACGTTTGTAAGAAAGTTGAAATTATTGCTGGCAATTTCAGATCACTCATGAAAAATGTTTGTGTAAAAAAACCTGCTTAGGTAAGCTGAGTGTGGTAAAAATGTATTGTTTGATATTGAACAAAGTTACTCTTGTCTTCTCTCATAGACTTTGGGGGTTATTTACCAAAACTGCATGGTGAAAACTCTGGTGCAGCTCTGCGTAGAAACCAATCAGCTTCCAGGTTTTATTGTCAAAACGTAATTGAACAAACTGAAGTTGATTCAGCTGATTGGCTACCATGCAGAGGTGCACAAGATTCTGAGTGCTCCAGCTTAGGTAAATCTCCCCCTGTGTGTACTACATAGTAATGATGAACTGTGACTGTGCTTCACTGATTATCTTTCAGTGAAAGTCTTTCATTCTGCTCAGACTGATTCACAGTACAACTTTGAGGAGGAATACCCTGATCTCTCTGGATCTCTCTGGACCTGTTCAGTAAGTGTCCTTTGCAAACTTACATACAAACAAATAATTACTTTAGGGAAACTTGGTCAAGTTGGATTTCAAAAAACCTCTCATGAAAATATGAAAAAAATTATCATTAGAGATAGCAAATATTGATATTGATTTTGCTGTTGATGATTTTGCTCATTGAGCTGCTAAAGTAAAAATTTTATTTAAAAAATACAATTACTCTTTTTTTATCAAAGGGTGAATGGGTGCATTTAAAGTAGTTTAGTTTATTTCATTAGGGATATATTCATATTTTGCCATTTATTTGTGTTGCACTAGTGCCCGTGCAATAAAGTATATGTGAGCCCTCACCTTGTAAAACAACCCAGTTAGTTTAAAATATAAATGAAAGGCAAAATGCTTATGTGTGTGTGTGTGTATATATATATATATATACAGTATATAGTAAAAAAGCAGATACAGAACATACGTTTTAAAATATACATACTTAAAAAAAACAATGACCCAAAACTATCATATTTTCTTTTCGATGCAGCTGGCCTGGGAGACATTGGGAGTTGCTGGTGACTAAATGGTTTCTATATTATTCTTTCTCCTTAATATAGTATGTTCCCCTGGGCACTCCCTGGACACTGAGAAGATGAGATGGATACATTTGCATCAATGCTAATGTTGTATACACTGGAAAGTATACCATATCCCTACACTATACATTTAACACCATAGCCAGGAGCCTTGAAGAGTATTTAAACCAGGCAGTCAGCTTGAATTAGATGCTATGGGCATGTCTTATACTGACGAGCTCAGAAATAACTTACACTGCAAATTGCTTAGGACAACAAAGTTCTAGATATATTTAGTTTATCCTAGGAATATAGGCGGAAATGTATAGTTGAACAAGACAAGCACTATTATAAATTACTCAGCTGGATTAAACTTATAACTGCACCAGGGGCGGACTGAAAACTCATGGGGCCCCCTAGCAATAGGGGATCATGGGGCCCCTGTGTCCTTGCCCAAATGCAAAAAAGCCTATGACAAAGGTACCAGGGGCATCTCATGGGGGCCCCCTACTGACCCTGGGCCCTCGGGCAGTGCCCAAGTTTCCAAATGGTCAGTCCACCCCTGAACTGCACCATGTATCTCTATGTAAGCAATCATCAGGGGAAAAAATACATTGCAGTTCAATGACATAATGGCCCTGATTTACTATTGTGCCTAGGAGCATTTCCGTGGGCTAACGTCTACTTTTTAATAGCGACCGTCTACTTTTAGGCGGCAAAGGCATTTACTAAAGAAAGCGTCAACATGTAGACGCGAAAGCGAATTTACTAACCAGACACAGTCCAGGAATCAGTTTCAAAAAGCAGACGTGCTAAGAAGCACGTCTAACACCACGAAAAATCACTGCAGAGACATGTTCACATTGAAATTTCCTTTGCCAAATATCAGGACTTCACTTTAAACAATATCTGACATTTCAAAAAAATGTTAAAATGTGCAAAAAATGTTTTATAAAGCAAGTCGTGACAGTGAAGAACTAGATGCTTTTCCAGCAACTATGGCCGGATATAAATGCACATGCGCAGAACACATCTTATCCTTTATAATTATTTCTGTAATGATTTTACTTATTTCAAAGGTCTAGATAATATATATTTTGACAGCTGAATCTAAAAATAAACGTCTGCAATATAAAAAAAAAATGGCGTGGGGTCCCACCTCCCATCCATACCAAGCCCTTCGGGTCTGGTATGGATATTAAGGGGTAACTCCACGCCAAATTTTTTTAAAAAAAAAACGGTGTGGGGTTCCCCCCAAAATCCATACCAAACCCTTATCCGAGCATGCAACCCGGCAGGTCAGGAAAGGGGAGGGATGAGAGAGCACCCCCCCTTCCTGAACCATACCAGGCCACATGCCCTCAAACGGGGGGGGAGCTTTGGGGCAGGGGGTTCCCCCCCAAAGCACATTGTCCCCATGTTGATGGGGACAAGGGCATCTTCCCCACAACCCTGGACGGTGGTTGTGGGGGTCTGCGGGCGGGGGGCTTATCAGAATCTGAAAGCCCCCTTTAACAAGGGTCCCCCTGATCCCGCCCCCCCCTACTTGAATGAGTATGGGGTACATGGTACCGCTACTCATTCACAAAAAAACTAAAACTGTGGTGTAAAAAAACACAGGACACGGTCTTTGATAAGTCCTTTAATAAAAGAATGTCCCCTGAAGTAGATCCAACGTCAATCTCGGTGTATGGCTCCGGTGACCCGAAAAAAAAAAAAAAAAAACGTTCTGCTTCCGACTGTGGCTCCCCAGCCTTCTGCAGTAAGGTTTGGTGACAGTTCTTAAATATGTAAGGGGCGGGGTCAGCTAGGGACATCATCTGAGTGACCCCGCCCCAGGTGACATCATTGATGTCACATGGGGTGGGATCACATGCATGATGTTTGTGGCTCGCCCCGCCCATTACATATTTAATAGCTGTCACCGAACCTCACTGCAGAAGGCTGGGGAGCCACCATCGGAAGCGGAGCCTGACACCATGATTGACGTTGGATCTACTTCGGGGACATTCTTTTATTAAAGGACTTGTTGAAGACCGTGTCCTGTGATTTTTTACACTATACTTTTTGTTTTTTTGTGAATTAGTAGCGGTACCATGTACCCCATACTCATTCACGTGGGGGGGTGGGATCTGGGGGCCCCCCTGTTAAAGGGGGCTTCCTGATTCTGATAAGCCCGCAGACCCCCACAACCACTGGCCAGGGTTGTGGGGAAGAGGCCCTTGTCCCCATCAACATGGGGACAAGGTGCTTTGAGGGGGAGCCCCCCCTGCCCCAAAGCACCCCCCATGTTGAGGGCATGTGGCCAGGTATGGAGCGGTATGCTGGCAGCTATGGAATAGTCATCCAGCTCCATGCATCCATCCATCAGGGTGGGTGCCAAAATGGTCCTGGGGAGGAATTAGCTCAGCCACAGGAGCCAGAAAGGTGCTTAATAGTGTAGTACTTTATTATAATGGTCACGAGTAACAATTTAAAATATCCACGTGGAGTAATAAAAATAATAGCAAAGTGAGTACCAAGATTGCGGCTGCTCCTCAATGGCGGCGGCGTGGCATCAGCAATAGGGCTCCCCCCAATGCATTTCGTGTACCAACACGTCTTATTGGTGTGCCCCTGAGGACGTGTTGGTACAGGAAATGCATTGGGTGGAGCCCTATTGCTGACGACACGCCACCGCCATTGAGGAACATCCGCCATCTTGATACTCACTTTGCTATTACTATTATCCTGATGGATGGATGGCTGGATGATTATCCCATAGCTGCCAGCATACCGCTGCACCCCCAGATGTGTGATGTGTATAACCTATGCGCATTAATACTTTTGTTCTGGTGAGTATACACCCGTCCCAAGGGTGGATTACCTTTCACAAGTTCATGCTCTACTGTTTGTCATGGATAAACCACACGTGACATTCATAGGCACTCTCTGAGTTGGTACTCTCACACGAAGGACATTCCATTATTGAGGAATGATTATATGAACGTTTTTAGCACCATTTACCAGTTTGCACCATTATTGCACTTATTTGCACTTTGTTGACTTTACATGCGTTTATGATTGTTAACATACATTTTAAAGCGCTGCACTATTACTTTAACATATTACTTTAACATTGTTCATGAATGATTATATGAACTTTTTTAGCACCATTTACCAGTTTACATCATTATTGCACTTATTTGCATTTTTTTTATTTTACATGCGTTTATGATTGATCACATGCACTTATAGCGCTGCACTATTACTTTAACATAGAATAGTTACATGATTAAAGAGAAAGGAAGATATATCATTATATTGGGAACTTAGAACTAGACATTCCCAATTATTTGAAATATACAGTAAGTGTGAAAATGTTTGACATTTGAAAATAGAATGTATGACATTCATTAGGAAAATGCATTAGTTGTCTGATCATTTTGGAGAAACAGCAACCCAAAAAAATAAAATAAATAAATATTGGTGTACTTTTTATTTTACATTATAGGTATTCTCATATGCAAACAGAAAAACGCCAACGGGATAAAGCCTGCAGTTGTGCACCACCTAGCGAACATATACGGCATTGCATCTAGAAATGTGCTAGACGTGATTCTGGATTTACTAACGGGAAAAGAGTCTACAAAGTAGACGCTTTACAAGGAGTTGGCTAGACGCCTTTCTGAAGACTGACAGGCTTGATTGATTGAATTGAGTCTGCCAGAATGTTCAGCGTCTGCTGGTAGACTCAATTCTTAGTAAATCAGGGCCAATAAGTCCTTCTTCTCCAGTAGAGGTGGGGTTCCTTTCTGCTTATGTGTGAGCACCATTAAGTGCAGTAATATTTTGAGCCAGGGCTGCATGATAGAGCTGCCGATGATGGAGGACCCACAACAGCCTGGACTCAGAGGAACTGGTTTGAATGATAATGGCCACACTTAAGACATCTTGTGGCAGAAAAGAAGTACATTTGGAACTGCTCTAGGATGGAAGGTGAGTATTGCCGCAAAAGCTGTTTTCATTTCTTGTTATACAATGTACTATCATATTTTATGGAATTCTATTTTAAAGGCATTCCCACTAAGTATTAAAGGGAAGGCACTTTACATAAATGTCATTTACACAAGTAGATTTCTAAAGCAATGATTATATTTAAAACACAGAACTTCAAAACGACCTGTGAGAAATCGACTTGTCTGCTTAACATAAAGCTGAAATATGACTGGTTGCTATGAATATTGTGTTTGGCTTTTTGGGAGCTTTATGCTTTAAAAAAGAACTTCATGATAGGCAAAAAAATCACCCATTAGTACACCCATCTACACACAAAACTGAACAGTTAATAACATTTTGGAAATCCTTACCATTTAGGAGAAAAGCTAATTGAATTTTCATGACCTCATCTCTGTAATTCAAAAGATAACCACATCTTCTCTGGTAACAGCAGGGATTACATCATATCCTCTCCTCTCTCTGTAGCAAATGGAAACTACAGCTCCCATCAAGCACAGGGAATTGTAGTGAATGTGGGTGAGTATACTAGGCCTGAACATGTTGAATGTGTCTGAGAGGCTCTGTTTGCCTATCACTGCAAGTGGGGCTGAATTACATTACTGCTTCCTGGAGAAAGAACTGCACAAGGGATGTGCCAAGACCAAGGGATGGGGAATAGGAGGCATATCAGCCACTGGTCTTACAAACTGAAAACCAAAAGAGAATTATCGGTTTGATTTGAAAATGAATAGGCTATTTTCAGAGCAACTACTGAGTGAACCAGAAGATGGATGACACATATTCACTGAAGGTAGGAAATCAGCATCAAGGACATGTAAAGAAGTTTTGCCTGCTTTAAGTAGATTCTTTCATTGCATACAAATAATGTACACTCCTTTCACATTTTGCCTTTAAAGTGGAACTTAAAGTGGAAGTAAACCTCTAGAGTAAATTCAATTTTTGGTCTCCTTGGTGTATTTTGCCATGCACAGCAAAGTGACCCCTCCAGCACTGCGATATCTGTGCTCCCCTCTATAGCTTCCATCTTCACCTGGTCTTCTGGAGTGTTTGGGCATCTTGATTATATATGCATGCGATCAATGTGTAATTTCTGTACTTGTCCACAATGTTCTCAGCCTTAAAAAGAGAAAACTAAAGCAACAACTGCATCCAAGGACTGGTAAGCCACAATATATTACATTTTTGTGTTTTGGTTTAAAGTGGTTGTAAACCTCAGACATGAAATATGAACAAAGCATATCCCTCTATAGTGTGTGCTTGTCTTTATCCAGGGCAGTAAGTGTAATTTCTGTCCGCTGCCCCATTCCTCTGCTATCTGCATGAGTCACTTCTTACAAGTTTTACTGACACCAAGAGAAAAAAAGGTGACAGGGGAAGGAGCTCCAGCACACAGCCTATGATTGACAGCCTCAGCTTTTCCTTTGTGCTGTATGAAGGGGGGGATGTTCCTTCCCTGAGATCAGCATCCAGAGCTCTCTTCAATGAGCTCTGCAATGTGTAATTTCAGCTCTTCGCCCCTGTTTTCTGAAAGCTTAGACAAGCTTTATAAATTCTGAACTTTGAGCAGCTGTAGAGAAGAGAAGACTTCAGATAAACAGGCACATTTTACCT